AAAAAAAAAAAAAAAAAAAAAAAAAAAAAAAGATGCCCTCTGAGTGAATGCATCCCTTTTCCCTGTGTCCCTCCCTCTACGGGTGGGGTGTGGTTTGCGGGAGGGCTCCAGCAGAGGCCTCTGAAGGCTTGCTTCTCAAAAGTGTGGTCCCTGGACCACCAGCGTGGGCACGAACTGGGAGTTAGAACGGCAGTCTCTCAGCCTCACTCACGCCATGACTCCTGAACCAGAACCTGCAGTTTAACAAGATCCCCAGGCAATTCATGTGCACATCAAGGTCTGAGAAGCATTGCTTGAAAGCACAAAACCAAGGACTAGGGTCCTTCTTGCCTAGATCTGGGTGTGGTACTGACTATAGGTATCAGTAAATATTTGCTCAACCAATGGCAAATAGCCCCCACAATAGACCTGGTAGCCAGGGAGGTACTGGGGAATGGCTGCCTGACTTACAAGGATTTCATTTCCTTTCTCTGGGGCCTCCGTGGCCACGTGTCAGCTACACACCCCGCTTCTGCCCTGTGCTGACTGGCCCAGTAGTAGACACCTGACGCACATTGGGGCTAATTGGATGATCTCTCCCAGGAATTTGGAGACAAGAAAATAGACTCTGGAGTAATAGCAGCGGTGACAATGAACAACTTCCTGCACCCACCGTGTGCCAAGCATTGTGCTGAGTGTTTTGCATCTTAGACTCTATCTTCGCAACCGCCTTGCCAGGCCGGTGATTGTACTCTGTGTGTTTTTCAGATGAGGAGCTAAGGTGTCCAAAGGTTAACTTTCCTTTTCCAAAGGTTCAGGGTGGGGAAGTGGCAGCATGAGGCAAGCTGGAGCGACTGTGCAGCTGAGACTGGGCCACGTGATGCAGAGACAGTCTGTCAACTTTGGCTATCCAGGTCCCCAGGAATTGCCTGGCTTTGTGATAATTGCGGCAACATCATGAGAAATGGTCCCTGCGCAGTGGTGGGTAAGACCTGGCTCTGGGAGATGGCCACAGTGGGGAGGGTGGCATGGGGGCCACCAAGTGAAGGGTAGGAGCCATGAGAGGGAGGCAGAGAAAATTCTCCTTCCCAAGGGAGGACAGAGCACTGATCAAGACCAGACGGGCCCACCTACACCTCAGTACATACCAGAGAGCACCCACTGTAGGGTCCCTCGGAGATCAGCTCCCCACGCCTCCCCTTCTAGCGAGTTAGCAGCAAGCTTGCCAGAGAAAAGAGGTGGGCAGTTTATTTTGGAGGTACGGGTCAGGGGGCAGCAGAGAAGTTTGCACCCTCCTCTGCACCCATCCCCAGAGGGGCAGACACCTCAGAGACGGATGGGGTGGAGGCAGCTGGAATGTGCCAGGACAGCTGAGGCCCTGCAAGGGCCAGAGAACAAGTCCAGGTTGAAGAAGGGCACTGGGGGCCTCACTGACTCGAGGACGAGAGGGGTCCCTGACTGGCTCTTGGAGAATGGAATCTGCCTTTCTGGGTGGAGCAGGTAGGTCTTTGAGAACCCAACAAAACAAAACAAATCAGCAGCAGGAAGTTTCTATCAGGATCCAAGCCTCTGCATGTGGAGGGTTGTTTGGCTTTATTTTAGAAACAAACCAACATCTTTCATTAGCACTGACACAGCGGTGGCCCCCTACTGCCACCTGACAATCCAGCGTTACTTACATAGCACTCAAGCAGCCCACACCTTCAATGGCTCACAGCACACTAGCCTGGAGTAGCCACCAGAAATACACTTCTCACCACCCAAATCTCCCTTTTGAAAAAACCAAGCAATCATCAGGTTGGAGGAGAATCACTGGCTCCCTACAGCAAGAGGGGACAAAGCCTGCTGGCAGAGGGCCAGGTCCTTGTGGCCCCCCCCAGTGGGGTGAAGATGACCGGGACTCCTTGGGACTGCATGGCTACAGCCAGGACGCTGCCAGGGCCTCCTCTGCTGCTGAGACATGGAAGGGATCCTTCCCGACGCCCACAGGTGGGGGCAGCCACCAGAAACCGGGCCTGTCATCAGCATCCCTGAGCCCCCGCAGACCGAAATGCAAATAGCTCCGGGCCCACGCCGCTCCCAGTCTGCTGACGAGGGCTGCTTGCTCCCATTTCTTCTCTTCCTTTTTTTTTTTTTTTTTCTTAAGGGCTGACAGTTCTGGAAACTTTTTCTAGCTTCTCAGACAATTGTGGCAAAATGGAGTAGAGACAGGCCCTGTCCGGGCTCTTTCTGCTGCCTCGCGCAGGTGCGGGAACGGGGAGCAGGTGGTCCCCAGGCCCAGGAGGGCCCAGTAGGTGCAGGGCTGGGTGAGGAGACAGACGGAGCTCGCCCCCGTTCGGAACCCAGGCCGGTGGCTCCTCTGACGAGAAGAAAGGCGTCCCCCCACGCCCAGCCCTTCAGATGGCCTCAGCAGCCTGCGGCCTGGGTCGCCTCAGGATCCCTTCAGGCTGGGGCGGCTGCTGCTGCCAGGCTTGGGACGTGGGTGCGGGCGGTGGGCACCCATGGAGGCAGGGGAGGCGAGAGCCTGAGGCTGAGCCTAAGAGGAGACTCAGGAGGGGGTTCCGTGGACGCAGCTGGCCCCGGATGGCGCTGGCGCGGCCACCGTGGGGGACCCGGCAGGGCACACAGAGATGCCCCAGGGCCTGCCTCCCTCCCAGCGCACCGGCGGTCGGAGGCACTGGAGCTCCCGCCCCGCACAAGGTCCCACTGGCGAAGGCTTCTCCCCAAGGAGCTGGAGAGGGGCTCCCCGGTGGGTTTCTCCCAGTCGCCCTGGTCCAGCCTTCCTCTCTCCGTCCCTCCCCGCCAGCAGGGGCCGCTGTCCCACGGGCTGGGTCCCGATGGCGCCCGCGGCCGGGCCTCCTCGGAGGGCCTGGCTGCAGCCTCCGGGTGTAGGTGCCTCAGTGGCCACCGCGTCCCCAGGAGGCCTCGCGCACGGGGGCGCAGGGCTGCGGGAAGGAGGCTGGCGGGCCCCTCGGGCGGCGGGAAGCCCGGGCTCAGCGGTTTCCTGGGCAACCAGCCTCCTCCGGCGCGGCCCAGGCGGCTCCAGGTGGCGGCAGGCGGCGGTTGGCGGGGAGGGCCGCGTGGGCACGGGGGTGGCGCCTCAGGTAGCAGCGCCAGGTGGCGCCCGTGGGCGGCGGGGCTCCCGGGGAGGCGCCTGTTCCCGCCCGCGCCGGGCCGGGCCTTTCCGAGCTTCCTTCTGGATTCCAGCGCGAAGCAGCCGCGGAAACTCCCCCGGCGGGAATCGCGGCTCCGGGAGCTCTGGGGCGCGGCGGGTCTCCGAGGGCGCAGGCTCTGGCGGGGCGACCGAGCCTCAGAGGGCGGGCGCGAGCAGGCGGGCGGCGAGGACGGGCAACAGCAGCGGGAGCACGGGCGTCCCGGAGGCCGAGGCCGCTGGGGACGAACGCGGGAGGTCAGGCCCCGAAGTCGGGGCCGCGGTGGCCGCCTGAGGCACCGACCCTAGTGGGGTGGGGGGATCTCTCTGGACCGACCTCGCCCCAGCCTCCCACTTTTCTATTTGATTGCAATGCTCCTTTCCCTTGCTGCCTTTATATTCATTCCTTCCAAAATTACACCTGCAGATTTCTGCCTGGCCTCAGATCCTCTCTGCACCGCTGCTTTGAGCGTTTACACTCATCACCCACGTCTGTCTGGAGTCTCGGCCGGGCTCCTGCCCTACTGGACTGCAGTGTCCCGGGACACCCCACCTGGACTGCCGTGAACGGGGCCTCCACCCGGCTCCCCGGACCCGCAGCATCCCCACCCCCCAACTCCCGCAAGGTTCTGGGGTGAAGGGGTCTGAATGGCACCAGGGAGGCGGCAGGGCAGGCCCATCCTACCTGCATCCGAGCACTGCTGAGACAGCATCCCTTCCAGCGCAGCCACGTAGTCCAGCCCCAGCCAGTCGCGGTAGGTGGTTTTCTCCCCGACAGGCACCGCCCGGACTGTGGCATCCTTGAAAAGCAGGTCTTGGCCGTGATAGTTGGAGGAGTCGAACATTTTGAACCCATTCTTATTGTAGTCGTCTCCAAACAGATCCTGGAAGCACCACAAGCAGCCCTGCTTCTCACCTGGGCTCACACAGGGTCACCCGCCCAGGTGCCGCTTGCTGCAAATTGCTTTACATACAGTGACCCAAAGAGCAAGTCATTTCAGGGCCCCACGACTCTGACTGGAAGTTGTAAGCTTGACATCTGATCCGCCTCTGTCACCCAAGGGGATGTGGGGACACAGGTGCCACTGGAAGAGGGATTCAGAAGCACCGCAGCGCTCCAGCTCTTGGATGCAGGACTGAAGCCCCAGAGGTCCAGGAAGAAAGATCCGGAAATGAGGGATGGTGTCGGTGGGATTCCTGAGTGTTCTGCTAGGCCTGCTCAGCATTTCTTGGCCTTTTCCATAAGGCTTTCTCACTCTAGCTTACAGATTTCCTTCCCACAAACCTAAACAATTTCGAGAGAGACTTGTGTTCTGCAACCAGTCACAGAATAACGGGTGAGCTGGGTGTGTCTTCACTGACCTCCGCCCAGGGATGCTGCACTCCTCTCCTCCCTGCTCAGAATCACTGGAATGATTCTGCAGCTACAGCCCTAAAAGAGCTGCTAAAGGCGGAGTGCCGTGACTCACGCCTGTAATCCCAGCATGTTGGGAGGCAGAGGTGGGTAGATCACAAGGTCAAGAGATCGAGACTAGCCTGACCAACATGGTGAAACCCCATCTCTACTAAAAATACAAAAATTAGCCAGGCATGGTGGCACGTACCTGTAATCCCGGCTACTCAGGAGGCTGAGGCAGGAGAATCGCTTGAACCCAGGAGGTGGAGGTTGCAGGGAGCCAAGATCACACCACTGCACTCCAGCCTGGGCAACAGAGCGAGACTCCATCTCAAAAA